ATAGTGTGAAAAGCTGTATAATTCAAAGCGAACACTTTTTTTTTATTTATCAATTTTTTATTTCCAAAATGAGCAAAATTCTGTGCGATCAATTTTCGACGTTGTGTCAAAATCATATATTGGTACACGACAAATTCGGTTTTTTCATATATTTTATCAATTAATGAATCATAGTTTTAACTTATGTTGTCAAAATAGCCTTCCATACGTAGTAATTCAGAGCCTTGAGATCAGGGCTCTTTGATAGCCATCTAGGGTTGTTAATGAATTGCACGCAACTTTCTTCACATCATAACAATGATTCCTGACGTGTAATAGCTTCACCAGGTTTAAAAATAATTGGAGACGTAAGACTATTTTTAAAAGCATTTAACCACATCATAATCCTTGTTGAATACTTAGCGGCCTGATTTATACCACTATGCTCGTCTTATAGGATAAAGATGTTCTAATGAAAAATATCCTTGTCAATAAATAGAATTGTTCTCAATCAATAGGATACAAAGTGAATTGATCATTTACCAAAAACATTCTCATGTCCGCAGCGTTGAAAATTAGGCACTGAGAACTTTTGGCATTTTGAAAGCCAAAGATTCATCAATAAAATAAGCTGCACTTTCTAAACCATAGAGCAATTTCACGCTGCATCTTGTAGTATATTTTGTTTATTTTAGTCATTAATAATTCAAGTGCAAAACGTAGCTATTTATCATTCTCCATCTACTATCATAACGAAGCGTTATTAACATATGATCTATGATTGTACGTCAACGACGTCTGTCACATCCTATGACGAAGAGAGGGATGTTGATAAAGCGTCTATTATGGCCTCTGAGTAGGGTTTGTCACAATCTGTGAGAATGTGAGTGCAAATTTTTACTGAATATGGTTCAACAATTCTTATGTTTACCACAAATAGCTGCTGACCAACTTGGAATATTTACAAATTGACATTGAACCATTCGACCAGCATAATATCGTGTATTTAATGCTTTGTATGCTTGCATAGCTTGATAATCTCTAAATAAAATAAATTAATTCCATAACAAAATTATTAATGAAAAGATTTACGTTTCATATTGTACATAAACGTTTCCACGTAAATGTATTTCGGAATTCGAACATACTTTAAACATAATTATACGACCAAAACGTTGAAATTCTGGTAAAACATCATAATAAAAATCTTTAAAATTTTCATATCGTTCAGAGTCTTCAAATTCTAAACCAATATCTTAAAAATAAAATAAAACATCTTAACAATCATCCATATAATTAAATGATTATTACCTACCAAAATCATATTCATCATCTAAACCATATTGCATTTCAAAATTTGAATACATATTTACAGCTAATAATGTATTAGTTATATCTGGTTTATTATGAGTACGATGGCAACTATGAAACAAAAAACAAATTATGGAAAAAAAAACACGAGATGCTAAACAAAGAAACAAACCGCTCATTGTATCGACAAACACCAGTTTTTAAATAAAATGAACAAACAGGACGTTCGATACTTGGAGCAACTGTTACTTGAATTGGTGCAAATGGATTATGTGTTGAAACAGTAATTGTTAATAATGATAATTCCTGAAAATGAATTTTCCTTTTCAAAATACGAAAGTTAACTATTAAAAGAGAAAATTCTACATAGGAAGATGATACTATCTCCTTGATAGAGTCCTATTAGAATTAAATCACGAGTCAATAGCGATTGATAAAATTTTATATGAAATCCAATACGTCGATTTTTTTATTTAGATTAACTATTCGTATTATTCTAAAATCTTTGCCTTCTGAGTAGCTACAATTAGTATGAATCTTATTTTCTATTGATTACATTTATGTTGTCTTAATATGGAAAAAGTATTTGTAAAACTTGCTATAAATTGACTCTTCTAGGTCATTAAGTACGGAAATCATTCATCTAGAATATTGTATTTCAAAGCAACTCAAGTGTTAATATTAATGTTAATCATTACAAATGAAATTCGTATAACCTAAACAATCAATTCAAGCTGCAAAACTACATTAGAATTTGAATATCGAATACGTTCGCTAAATATTCTTATTTTTAAATGTTCAATTGATTATTTTTCTTAACGACTTTTTGACGCAAAAAAAAGAAGAATTTTCATCCTAGTGTAATTCATCAATAATATAAATTATTTTCTTAAACAAGATGTTTTAGTTTTGCAGATAGACTTAATAGATGTTAACGGTTATATCTAGTTAACTAACTCATCATGAAACAATTCCTATGTGGTTTCGCAATGTAAATTGATTGCTTCAGTCACACGTACTACATTAATACATTTTTAATGATTAACATATTAACAGTCGACTTGCTTTGCAATATGATATTTTAGGCTAATAACTTTCGTACTCAATGAGCTAGATGGATCAAATTATAATCATTTTGAAGAGAGCATTTCACTGTATTATTTCTCTTTACAGACAGCTATGAGAGAAGACTTATTCGTATGGAAACATTTATTATACAAAATGCCTCAAGACTTCTGACTCAAGCTTTCTATTCAACATTTTGATTAAAAGATGAACACAGACAAAAAGTGATTCTTTTTTAAAGATTTTATAATTAGAATGTTGAAAGATTGTGCAAAAGTCGTTTTCTTTTAATGGTCAAGAATACCATACAAATAATGCAAATAAGATTTCAATAGCTTTATTTTTGTCATTTTCTTCAAAAAAATCCAAGAACTTACGAGGGAACCTTGCTAAGTGTCAAATTGCTTTTGAATGAGGACTATGGGCATCATGGTAAGTTCTAATGAACTATGAATACTCTAAAAAGAATTTCGGGTTAATAACCTATTTATTCCAGAGATATTGAATTTTTTAGCAAATTGTCGTTATTTTTCTCAGTACAACTGAATTTCAACCTAAAATTTTACACATAAACAAGCCTCAAGGAGAATAGCTTATTGGAAATATTTCAGATTTGTCGATCTCACCATTTCTGAAATAAGAACATCGAAATTTGCCATGAGATATGAGCGACGTGAGAAAACGTGCTATTACTATAACTGTACCTTAGGATAGAAACAATCAAAAGATTCAAACCTTTTACAATAAAATATTTTCATTAAGGCCTGTCTGCATGTAAAGTTTCAAGTCGATATTCAAAACTCGACTTTTCAGGTGTTTCTGAGAAAACCACAACATTCTGATAAAAAAATACAGTATTTCGACAGTAATAAGCTAGTAGTTGGAAATTCTTTTCAGGGTATTCAAAGCTCACTAAAATCTATATAAAGCGCATGGTTTCGACTTAGCAACATTCACCTGGTGGAAATAGAAACGATACCGTCGGATATGATAGTAGATCTGTCAACCCCTTGCTGTCGCAGTCAATAGAATAGAAAGATAGAACATGAAATTCTGCACATTTTTGTTAATTTATTTTGTTTTTTCCCGAATGTAAAAGAAACTTTCCTCAAGAAAATAGTCTTACGGGGTCCATGATTTTTGGATGTTTCGAATAATAAGTATGGCACCCGCCCGTAATTCTTGCATTATAATTTCATTTGGAAAGTCAATAGTGTGGACCGATACAGTTTTTCATTTTTTACAAAATAATATATTGCTCTGCTTATCCAAGGTCAAACAGGTATGATATCATACCTATCTAACCTTGCATAAAGTAATCAATATGTTATTGTATAGTGCATAAAAACGACGTCAGTCTACGCCATCAGTTTTCACATTGAGTTTGCAAAAGAAAGTACTGACAGACCCCATAAGACTATTTAGTCCATGAAAACTGTCTTTTTTTGCATACAACACAAAAGATAGCTCGACAGTTATATGCAGAACTTCATATTCTATCTTTTCATGTGACGGAAAGTAAGATCTATCGGTGTGACAAATTTACGATCTTTTCCTGCGGCATCTTTTATCAAACTCTCGAATAGCTAAAAACAAAACTAGAAAAGTTTCCTGGACGAACTATTTATTGCTAATCAATTTTCTCTCTTCCTCTCAGTTTTTCAAAATTCTGTACAAATTTTAGGAATCAGTTTAAGCATCGTTAAATAGATTTTCTTAAATAAGCATACCTTTTGTTTTTCTTCCATTTCTTTTCTTAATTGTTCTTTCCTTTGAATTTCCATTTGCTCACGTTGTTCTCGTAGTTTTCGAGCTTTTTTACTAGAATAAAAATTTTTCAAATTCTTTTTGTTTGTTTCAAGAAACTCAGAAAATATACTTTTCTTCTTCTTCTTCGATTTCTTTTTGTATTCGAATATTTTCTTTGTGTATAATCCATGCTTGATATAATGGATCCTTTTGTCTTTGAATTTCTTCCAAATGAAGTTTTTCATCACGTTCTTTTGCTATTTGCTGTCGATACAATTGTCGACGTAATTTTTTTATTAAAAATCGATAAATTTTATGACTTAAATATTGATAAAAAAAAAGTCAAGGAGAAAAAAACATGTCAATTTTGAATGAAAAAAAAAAAGAATTATTCAATAACAAAAAACAAAAGGATATTTTTTTAATCTTAATACTTGAATTTTATTGTTTGATGTTTTTCTTTGAATTGTTCAATTAAATATAATTTCATTTTTTCAAATGATTGATTATCTATTCTAATATCCATTTTAAAAAAATATTATTCATTAATTTTCTTTTTTTTTTATTATCCATAGTTTATTCTAATCCAATAAATAAACCAATAAAAAGTGTAAATACATGTGTCGACATATCGGAAACAACAATCAGCACATGATTTTGTCGTTTACGAAAAAAATATAAATTCTAGTATTTTCTTTTGTTCAAGAAAACGATTCATTCAGTTTTTTTTCGTATTAAATTATTTTATTTTCAATATAAATACATTTATGTTTACTTGATTGTATAAATGACCTTGACAAATAATGTCACTAACAAAATAATCAAGCCAAAGAAGAAAGAAATTCTTCTTTAACATTGATTTCTTTTGTTTTTATTTTTATTAGATAATCAAAACGATGCAACCAGGCGGGCAAAGTCTTGTTGATCGGCTTTTAGCTGCTAAAAATACAATTGCTGGACAAGCTCTAGCAAAAATTGTCTGTAAAGCAACAACAGAAGAAATTATGGGTCCAAAACGAAAACATCTTGATTGTAAGATATTTTAATAAATTGAAAAACAAAAAAACATCTTTTTTTCAAGTTCTTTTGCAAGCAACGAATGAAATGAATGTATCAATACCTCAATTGGCTGATTTATTAATTGAGCGTACACAAAATTCATCATGGGTTGTTTCATTTAAAGCATTAATTACAATACATCATTTGATGTGTTTTGGAAATGAAGTAAAATTTTAATTTTTTGATTTTTAATATAATCTTTTTTCGTTTTTAGCGTTTTGAAGCTTATATGGCTTCACATAATCATAGACTTCAACCAGCTGCTTATTTAGATCGTATGGGAATGCCTGGGGGTGATATGTCGAATTATATTCGACGTTATGCTAGTTATTTAAATGAAAAACGAGAATCTTATAAATTAATGGGTTATGATTTTTGTAAAATTAAACGAGGGTTTGTTAAATTGATTTTATTAATGATAATTTGTTGATATTGTGGGTTTTTTTTTATAGAAAAGATGATGGAGTTCTTCGAACAATGCCTACTGAAAAGGTAAGAATATGATAATTGAGTTTTAAAAAATTGATGTATTTTATTTGATAGCTATTAAAAGCATTACCTATTCTTCAAAAACAACTTGATGCTTTACTTGAATTTGATGTAAGTTTGTTTTCTATGTGAATTTTAAATATGAAACGAAATACTAAAAAAAAAATTTAGAATAAAAAATTAAAAATTTCTGTAAGTTAAGACTTGCCTGATTTTAGAATTATTATTTTTGAAGTAAAGCATGTGTGATGAAAAGAGCATGAGAGAGAAATTTTCATTGTAAAAATAAATGGAATTTGATTCGATTTTTTTAATAGGTTACACCAAATGAACTTACAAATGGTGTTATAAATAGTTGTTTTTTTCTTTTAATCAAAGATCTCATACGTTTATATGCAGCTTTTAATGATGGAATGATAAATTTACTTGGTAAGAAAAACTTTCTTTAAAATTTTTGGTATAAAGAAAACACAAAACAAATTCTATTTGATTTTCTAGAGAAATATTTTGATATGAATAAAAAACAATGTCGTGAAGCATTAGATATTTATAAGAAATTTCTTGATCGAACAGATAAAGTTTCAAATTTTCTCAAAGTTGCTGAAGTAAGTTTATTTTGATTTCAATTTTTAAAGTCAGTTGATCAAAAATTTTTGAAAAATTAACTATGACAAATTAGCGTTACGGTCAATTATTTGACCGACATTCTTGGAAACAGGTAATAGTGAATTAAGAAAAATAACGAGATTTGTTTGAATAAAAATTCTTCATCACTGTCTGTGTGTGTGAGTCTCACAATTCTAGTTCATTTCTTTTATATCTCTAGTACCTTTCAGTGTATGTCTATCAGGTTTGTTTTGCTAAATAGAAAACGAAATAATGACAATAAATAAAGACTAAATGATAGCTTTCTAATCTGTTATGCTTCAATGTGCGATATACTAACATTAAAAATTTTTGTAATTCAGTAAAAGAAAAAGACGAATATAAAGAAAAATATTTTTCTTTTAGACATCGGGTATGGAACGAAGTGAAATTCCTGATTTATCACGAGTAAGTTAACATAAAACTTTAGAATATATGAATTTTTGTATTCACGAGTATATGTATATGTATGTAGAGATTGGATGAAAGTAATACAGTAAGTAAAGGGAAAAGGACACAAAATTTGCATGTTACAAATTCTGACTAAATTAGTTATGATCAAATATGAAATATTTATTAATATGAAAAAAGATTAATAACGAATTTTTTTCTTTCATAGGCTCCAAGTAGTCTTTTGGAAGCATTGGAAAATCATTTAGCACATATGGAAGGTAAAAAATTATCATCTCAAACATCAATTTCAAGGTATAATACAAAATAAAAAAAAAAACTATTAAACAATTTATTAAAATTTTAAATATTTTAGACAACAAACAGAACAAGATTTAAAAAGTTTTTCACGTGATTTAATATTTAATGATAGTGATGATCCACAAAAAATTCTCGAAGAAGAAGCTAAAGCACTTGAAATATTTAATAAGGTTTTGATTTATTTTTAAAAGTTTATTTTATCTTCATTTAATTGATATATAGAGTAAAGATTCATCATCTACATTTACACAACCACCACCAGCAACAACAACTAGCAATAATTTTGGCGATACAGATTTCTTTTCTCAGCAAACATCATCAAATGGTCAATATACTAAATCAAGCGCAACTGTACAACAACAGCAATTATTAACTGATGATCTTTTTTCACTTGCTACACCACCATCACAAACATCAACAAATACGTTTTTTAATAATAATCAAAATACATTTCCTGCATTTCAACAACCGCAACAACCATTCCAAAATGTTCTTGATACATCAGTACCAAAAAGTAAGTCAAATAAAATTCTTTTTGTTCTTCTTTTTCTTATTTCTAATAACAAGAGCAAAATATTACTAATATTAATTTTTTCCCTATAAAAATAAAGTAGAAGAAGCTCCTCCATCAACTGAAACATCGGTAGTAACAAATATAACTGAAGGTTTGTTAGATATTGTTGCATGTGTTATGATATATCAATAGCATGTTGACATTTGTGTTTAAATGTATTTATCAGATCTCATATAGAAAATAACTTGTGCTTTTTTTTAATTTTAGCAAACTTTTTCGATGATATTCTTCAACCAACATCGACGTCATCAAATAAAAATACACCATCAATGCCATTATTTACTACTAATCAAAACATTCCATCAACAACTAAACCACTTCAATCAGGTGATCTTAATTCATCTCTTAATCAATTATTAGAAAATCTTGATATAAAAGATCGATCGAAAATTGGGTAAAGACTTTTATTATATTCATAATAGATTTCTTTTTCTTTTGTTTTTTTTTTTAATAGAAAGGATCATCAATGGACACCAGGCGATAGTAAAAATCAACAAAAAATTGGAATCGGAGGTGGAAGTATAGTTAGTCCTGGTACAACATGGCCAAGTCAACCACCAATGATAAGCGCACCATTTGGTGGTGTAAGTTATTTTTCAATAAGAAATTTTTCTTTTTTTTTAATTGAATAATTTTCAATTTTCTATATATATGTTTTTAGACGGGTGTTCAACAAAATACAATGTGGCAACAACCAGCACCTCAAATATCATCAACCAATCCTTTTGCTGCTCCGACTGGTCAATCAGTACGTAATTACTCTTGTCGTTTTTTTCTTTTTCTTTTCTCTTTACCAATCAGCTGCTATTTGCTTTCCAGTAACATATATTTTTTTTTTCGAGCGCTTGATTACCCCTCACCATATATTTGTCGGGTGTTTTTTTTCTTTTGCTCGTTTCTTATCTTCGTGTTGCATTGACGTAGACGTAATTCAAGCCCCATTTTTTTCTCTCTCTCGCTGTCTCTCGCATCGATGTCGACGAACTAGTCAATGATGGTTTATTTGCATTCGCCTACATTTTCTTCGTTTTTTGTTTTTATAACTTAGCAAGGCAGCAAATAAGAATGCCCCTATTTCAAACATCATAGTGGGCGAAAAAAAATACAAACGGCAGTAGCCGAATCGGGTCGTCTATCTTACTTTCATTATTCATTCTACCTCTCTTGTGCGCATGTGCTTTACAAGTAATGAAACGCACACATATCAACGGAAAGAGAGGCAAACAGGCAACGACCAAATACAAAACACAAGTCGCACTAACGTTTTGTGCGCATAGACACACCAAGTTTAGTTGTAGTAATGTCTCTCTCTGCTATGCGTGTGTGTGTATGCGGGCGCACATACACTACTCTCCTTCTTTTTTTCCGTGTACCCCTCTCTTTTTTTTGCATTGAAGAGAGTCAGTCATTTGATTTCATGTATGTGATTGTAGCAGCAAAAGTATTATTACGAAAAAAATGCTTTTATATGAGCTTTTTTTCTCGATTTATCTTCGACGTATTTTGATATGAAGACGTATAGTGTTGGAATCACAAAAAATTACATTTGAGTCGAGCATAATCAGTAAGTAACAATAAAAAAAAACAACACCTATCCTTCTTACTAAGACTAAGTTCTTGTAATTTTCTCTTACACCCACACACATATATGTAGAAAGAGACATTACGATATTGATTAATAAATATACAAATCGAAAAAAACGTATACATATAAATATTATTATTTATAAAATGAAGAAAAAGTGTCTTATGTTTATAATTTCGTAGAATAATATTACAAAATATCAAGCAAATGGAATACGAGAAAAACAATATATAATTTTATAATATTTTTCATAATACTCGATCTAAATAGAGAATTTGTATATAAGCATATCATGGCATCAGACAATTTAGAAATTTTGAAACTACAATTAAGCATTCATACTTTTGAGAAATATTATTTTGAAATTCTGTATTAAGTATAAATTGGAATTTTATCTTATTGATAAACATTACGAAACTGACATACATAAAATATGTTCATGTATTCATACTTTCTACGCACTACTAAAGTTGTCAGTGATTATTATAACCATCATCAAAGGATATTTATGAGTTGCCAAATACAAAAAAGACAGTCCTAAATAATTATGAAGTTTTTTTTTTTGAAATTATAAAAATATCTAAGAGTAACCTTACACAAACATACAATACATTTCAAAGATTAATTTGTTCATTAAAAATAAGAGTCGAATTATTTTTTATATTTTATAATCAAAATTGGTATTATGAAATAAAATTTTCGAATAATTTCTTTAGAATTTATCTTATATCTAAGTAAAACCATGCAAGCGACGATCGGATTTTACTCAATCAAATTTCCTAAAATTATGCTGACATAGTCAAATAGTCCTTCGCATCACGGTCATGAGCGTGATCAAAACAAAGAAAAGTTTTTCACAATGGCCTTCGCTAATGAGACTAGAAGAATAACTTGAGTTGAACCTTTCATTCAAATTTGTCTTATTTGCGAAATGTCGTTTCAAATTTGAAGATGTAATCATCTCCTACTGAGAAAAATCCACAACATTTTTCTCTGTCAGAGATTGTTCGATCCTCATGTCTTAAAAGGCATTTTGAAGAAGAGAAGCTTCTGAATAAAAGATTCAACTTGAATTATTCTTCCTGTCTTGTTAGGGGAAATGCTCTTGGGAAAAGTTTTCTTCAGTCACGATCGTGACTGCAACGAAGATTTTTACCATCAAATAGTCCTTAGCTTGGTGATATGTTTTTTAAATTGAGAAACATCTCATTGATTTCTTCGGAGACAAATATATCAACAAGGTGATGTTTCTATGGTAGTTCAATGCAAATCATAGAAGTTCACAATGAAAACTCATTCGAAAAATTCTAATTGCTCCGTAAGCAGATCTCTAATAAGACTAGCATTTCTGTTCAATAGTGTAAATCATATGCTTGATATGATGGAATTGATTTTACGGACATCTAAGTTTGTGATTAAGTAGTCCTCTATGGTGATTGATCATAGTTTATATGGAATGATTAATATATAGTTTCAATATGTGGGTGTATGTCTAAACTAAAGAAGAAAGATGTTAGAAGAAGTTATTTTTTATATAGTTGTAGTAATCAAATGAAAACTTAAATAACTTAACTTAGATGACTGAACTCTTGTATAATAAACCAGATATGAATTTCTTGATGATAATAGTATCTTACTTTTTGTATAGATGCATCTGACAAATATCATGCGTCCTTACTATCCTGTGGTAATAATTTGATTTTACATAGCATATTTATGTAGTCAGGGAATTAATGGTAAAAGACTTTATTCTAAATATTTAAATCTGTAATTTAAATAAAATGCTGTAACAATATAACTGATGTCATTAGTTGGGCAGCTTTAATGCATGTTATATTTTTGCTTTGGAGCATCTAGTTTGATCAATATTATAATTAGATGATTTATCTATTGAGAAATCTTAACTAAAATCTGCAGTTTATTCTTTGTAACATTTTCTATTGGAAATTCAGCTTCAGTCTATTTATTCAATGCCAAAAAAAAAAAAAAAATTATGCAAATAATTTAATTTCTTTGTTTCTTATTTTAGCAAATGGGCTTTGGTAGTATGGGACCTCGACCAATGGGTGCCGGTACAAATCCATTTGCTGCTCAACCATCATTTGGCGCTTCAACATTTGGTCAACAACCAAAACAAAATCAGCAGCAAATCAATGATCCATTTGGCAGTCTTTAAATCAAAACAAAATAAAAAACCAAAAAAAGACTTTAAAATGATTAAGAGACAGAGAGAAAAAAATCAAATACTTTGCCTATTGTCATGTGCAATGCTTTATCTCATTTAATTATCTTCGTCAAATTATTCTCATTATTGCCAAACGTAGTCGATCCATAAACATTCCACCATCCAAATCAATTATCACCTTCTCTTGTGCGATTATCGTCTAGTCATCTGATTTAAACGAAAAAAAAAAACATTAAAAAAAGACTCCATTCGATGTTATACCTATTTGATCTGATAGACATTATATTACTCCTGATCTCTGCAAGTACACACATTTCTTTTTTCTTTTTTGTTCCTTTTCATACTCTCTTGCTCTCTTAATTTGAACATTTCTTGATTATCATAATTCTATGTTTCGCTAATGTAATTTGTATCCCATGAAAAACACAAAAAACTATAAAACAAAAAATATTTCAATCATACAATTATTTTTCTATTTTGTGAGTGTGCGTGCTTCTGTAATTTTCTTTTTCTTTTCCAATCATTAGCGCTGTTTCCGTCTCTTTATTATACTTCCACTATTTATCTAGCTATCTTTATTTATTGTCATAATTGATCTACCTTTGTTCGTATATGTACGATTTCTTTTTTCTCTTTTGTCCTATTTCCTTTACATATATACACCGCCGGTTTTTCTTTGTGTAGATTGAAATTATCTCTTAAAATTCTTTTTTCTTCTCATCAAACAAATATGTGTGTTTTTTGTTGGTGATTTTACCTTTTTTCTCCTATCACTTTTTTTTCTTCATAAAAAAGAAATTTTCATTAAATGGTGTCGTAAAATAGAATCAAAATCTTTTATTTTCTCTGAATGAGGATAATAATAATAATAATAATAATAATAATAATAATAATAATAATATTTGGAGATTGATCTTTAGCAAATTCTATCAAGTATTCAATTTAATAGTAATGTATCGTAATGATTTTGTTTCACATATATACTATACAATTTGTTATACATATATATATTTCTCTTTACAGGACGAGTTTATTTCATGGAAGATGATGTTAGCAATGATAATTTATGGTAAGTCAATCTAATACTTGAAATCTTTACAATAGAACTAAAACTTTGTTGAAATCCGTTGGCATTTTTTCGATCAAATCTTAATCTTAGTATGATATTCAAATACAATTCTATTCAACCTCAAGCTTTTCTTCTTTTTTTTTTCTACAATATACATTTCAACAGTCTATACTAGTCGTCGCTACTTCACAGTCAATTGTCTTTTTTTCTTTATAAATTATCAACGTCGACAAGCGACATTGCGCGACTGTGCTATTCACATATTTATTTCATCTAGTGAAGAGAAAAAAGTAGCTGACGAAGGCGTCGCTATCGTCCGTTTGTTAGAAAAGAGGTCTCGGGTATGTAAGAGCCAAGATGGCGATGCAGTTGTAGAAGAAAAAAATCGAAAATACAACAATATATACACCCCATGTGTTGAGCGTGTGTACTCACCTTATGATATTATTATTATTTATTACAATCAATGTTCAGGTAACTAATTTAAATCATATAATTTAAAAATAAATAAAGTACATTATAACCTAAGGAGAATAAATAAATCGTTTTACATTGTTTATTTATTTTACATATTTTTTATACCAAAAAAAGAAAATAAATCATTCAATAATCGTTTTCGAAATAAAGTTTTTTTCATTTATTAATCAACAAAAATGATTAAAGTACTGTATAGAATTCTAAAATGTATATTTTTTAATAATATAAAAGACCTTGACTAAAGTTGGCTTTATATGGCATGAGAAAAAAGTATTTGTTTTCAAAGATATGCTGAATATTTTTAAATATTTCGATTAAAATTCATCAGATTAAATACGAAATTAACTAAAATCTATTATAAAATAATTATTTCATGAAATTTAGCTCGAAATTTCGATGTCATGCACTTGTTTTTCTCTCGGTCGATTTTGAAAAAACTTAACCTCTGATAACTTTTTGCGGTTTTTTTGACAGATAATAACTTGTCAATGAACTTAAGTAGATTTTCTTTGAAATATTCTTTTTTAATCTATGAAAAAAAAATTCTTTTTTCTAAATTCTATTTCATATAGCAATTCAAATACTCAACAACATTTAAACAGTGATTATCGAACAACACCTGATCATCATCAATTAAATGATGATGAAGAATCAAATCCAACAGAACAAAATCCAAGTTTATCACATTTTGTATCATCATCGAATAGATTTGATGATGATGAAGAAGATGAACCACTTTTATTACGACAACGTAATAGTCAAAAACAAATACCAGTAAATAAAATTGAAAATGATTCAAATAGTTCAGATGAATCTGAACACCAACAACAAAGATTAAGTGATTCAGATGAAGATGAAGAACCAAGTGATGAAGAAGATGATGATGACGATGATAATGATGATGAAGAAGAAGAAGACGATGATGATGATGAAGATGATGATGATGATGATTTTGATGATAAAAGAAAGACACGATCGAAATCAAAACGAGGTTTTGGACAAGCTAAACCTAAATCGAAAAAACAAGTAAGTATAAGAATACTATGTAAGGAAATAATAGTATAGTCACATATGAATCATTTGATTGTTTTTTTAATTATCCCAATTTTGCTAGGATTTGAATGACGATCAATGACTCAGAAGGCCGATTGAAAGATTTTTTTGAGGATAGGTGACCAAAACAAATAAAATGCTGAAACTTCGGTAGGATAAAACGAAGACTTCTCAAGGTTAGGGAATAAGATTTCTGTGTATGGAATTGGTGTTTCTTTTGAAAAAAAGTTCCAACTCTGAAATTTAATCATATTAAATGAAATCAAAAAGTACTTTCGGAATCCATTATTATTTTTATTGAAGACCGCTATGGCTGAGTTACGCTACTCGATACGTATTCACAAGGTACTATGTACCAACCTGAGTACCATCAATAATCGCATGACCTTGAACAGGTCACTTACGGCTATTCGTCTCGCACAATCGGCTCCATAGCATGATGATTACATTATGAGATACACTTGCTCTTGTGTTTAGTAAGTGTATGTGAAGGGTTCAAGAACTCTGTGTCAGACTGGCCTTCTGTTCAGACCTAAAGTTAGTCACAGCTGCAGGGAAAACATTGGATTATTGAGTCTGTTCCTAGGCTGCATCCCATAAATCATAATTTATAATCAAAGTATTAAGCGAGAACTTATACAAAACAAGTATACTTCTTCAAGCATTCCTATTCAAATTGGTGATCGGTCAATGAATTTATAGTGATGCGATTATACGATAAGCCATCTAGTAACATCAAGAATCGATGATTAGCATATGTTCATAATGTGCTCATCGATCTTAATGATGATATGTAAAAACAACAAGAGCTTCCTTAGTTAATACCGATGGCCTCCAGTGGAAGGCAATATTGATAGTTCCTTTAATTACTCACGAGAAAACCTCTTCAAGCGTCAAATTGCTTTCCGACCGAGACGACGTTAGCTTGATGTATAATAGAAAACTCTTCAGTGGCTTAGTTTTCCAGGCCTTCCGTTCTTGTGGTACCTAAGTTTTACTGGATTTTTTAACAAAAAGCCACGATCACATGGCAAAACGACTTCCAACTTTGTTCGTACAAAATTTCAAGTCGAAATTCGAAAATCGATTTTTCATGTGGCTACAGCTTTTTGTTGAAAAATCCATCTCGAGAAGGAAGGCCTGGAAAACTAAATCATTCTAGACTTTTCCATTGTACATCAAATAAGCATCATCTCAATCGAAAAGCAATTTTATGCCCTCAGATGTTTCCTCATCAGTCAATTAGATCTCTTCTATTTATGTGTCAAATGAAGGCATTCTACACTCTGTTACTGATACATAATAATTGTTGTCCAAAGTTAATGTGTATTTCTTAAATAACTATGATGCCATGTGTAAGACTATATTATTAAACAAAAACGATGTGTCGTCTATAATAAACATGATCAGTTTTTATAATAAGAACATTATACTAAGTGAGCCATAATGATTGTAACATCTAGTATTTTGCAAATATCTCAGCACAGATAAATCGTGTAATCTTAAATNTTTTAACGCTGATTCCGAATCTGATATTAGTTTTGAATCAAATTGTAGCTTTCTAACAAAAAATCCCCCGAAAAAGGCTCAAAATGCATAAAAACTACAGTTGAGAAAGCAAATAGGGTAGATATTGTCTCAGATGATAAAAAACAAAGTGAATATACCTGTTCACTTTTTGAAGTACACATAACACTCGGATTTAAATCCGATGTTTTCGCATTTATTTTTGTTAGTATCACTTAAGTTAGTATGACCCAACGTTCATCTTGCAATGTAGAGATACACAGTGTAGGATAGAGTAAGGGTAGGGACACTCTTCTCAGTCATGAAATAGTGTACGAATGCACTCAATCGCTTAAGTTACCATTACACACTGAATAGTCAATCACACACTAGCTATGAGGGCAGATATATGTTACAAATTGGTCAACATGCTATCGAACTGGTGATCTGAGACAAACAGTCATTAGTGACTTGTCTAGAATCATTCCAACGCTGGCGATACCGAGGCTTGAATACAGTACTTATGATATACACGACGAATAATGTAATTACTCATGAGGAAACTATCTGAACTGATATCTCCCGTTTGAGCTCATATTGTGATCAAAAGAAAGTTTCGGCAAGAATAGAAAAATCCTAAAAGTGTTTGTGTCCATGGGTCTCTAGAGCCAAGTTAATTGTCTAGGGATAGATCTGATGATATCAGGAATATCCTGAAAGTTTCAGTCGAAAAGAATGTTATTTTGTCAATGTATTGAATTTTCAAGTAAATTCAATTTTTGTGACCAACGATCATTTTTTGAAAACTCAGTATCTCGACAAAGGAACACTCTTGTCAGCTAAAACTTTCAAGATATTCCCGAATTTATCAGATTTTTCCCTGGGAAAAAATCTCAAATCGAAATTCTATTATTCGATTTTTCGATAAACACCGAAAGTTGGATTAAAACTTGAATAAAACAGTCATAACTTTGCTCTGGAGCCCCATGAACGCCAACCTTTTGAAGATTTTTCTAGTCTTTTAGAATTCATGCGAAAATGAATTCTTGTTCTATTTCATAGTTTGAAAATGACAAATCTTTAATTCATTTTATTCTCGAATATTTAGTGTAAAGAATTACTTCGACCAGTGAAAAAATGGCTTAGTAGACTTGATGCACCTGAAGATGCATTTGATTCACATGATGATTATGCAAAAGAATTTGAAAAATGTTTATTAACAATTGGTGATCAAATAGAAACTGTTCTTAAAACAAAAACTGATGATGATTATCAAACATATCGTCATCATTTATGGACATTTGTTTCAAAATTTACAACAAAATTAACAGATAGTCAATTACGAAAATATTATCGAACATTTATTAAAAAACGTAATGAAGAAAGTTCAACATCAAATCAAACACAGAAATCATCTCATCATCAACAACAACCATATAATCAATATTCACAATCAAATACAAAAAATCGTCAAACAGAACAAGATGAAACATATAGAAAAGCTGGTTGGGGATCATCATCATCATCACAATCAAATAATAATAATAATAATAATAATACTAATAATAATAATAATAATCGTAATCCAAAAGATTCTCGTCTTAAACATTCATTAACAATGCCATTATCAAAATCTTCAAGATCTGAACAATTAAATAATACAATTGGTTCAACAAATACAGGTACAACATCAGATTATGATGCACATCATCATCATCCTCATCAATTTGATCGTAATCGACATCATACAAGTGGAAATAATAATCGAAGACCATATCATGAATCAACCGGTGATTTATCATCCGATTATCGTAATAATTATCATCGAGATCGAGACAAGTATGTATACTAGTTTTTAATATTTATATTTAATTAAGAAATTCTTTTTATTTAAGTAATTCGTCTCGTGGACCTCGTCGTTATGATTCAATGCCATCGCGTTTTGATCAATCATCTTATAATAATCGTTCATCATATCAAAGTAATTTTTCTCAACCACCACCACCTTTTGATGAATCTCGATCATCATCGAATCGTTCAGGTGGAAATAACAATATGAATAATAATCGTTCATCACAAAATGCTCCACCGCCACCGCCACCACCACCACCTCTTCTTCCTCCACCACCTCCACCACCATTATCAACACCTGAGTTATTTCAATCAATTTATTTACAGTACTATGATATGTATATGCAACAAGCTACTGGGCTTTCTTCATCATCTCAATCGTCTACGACGAATTCCATGTAAGAGGCGATTGTGGGGAAAATGAAAGTTTTTATTTTATGTTTAAAACAAAAAAAATTATTTTAGTTCTCCGAACAGCTATGCTGATATGGCTGCAAATTATGCTCGTCAACGTATGCAGTCATCGACATCTCAATCATCAAAACAATGATTTTTCCTTTTTGTTTTTTTTCCAACTCTTCTTATTTTTCTTGTTTATATTTATGTATAACAGAAAGAAAACAAACAAAATTTCTTTTCTCTCGGTTCTTCTTTGGCTCTTTCTCGATGTGATACTCTTCTCTTGATTGACCATTGTTATGTCACTTTCACTCTTTTTTTTGTCTGTTTGGCATGTTTTTAGTTCTACTGCCTGATTCGTTTCCTTTCTTTTCTTTCTCGTCTTCATATATGGAATTGTTCTCTCAGATGTGTAGACAAAAAAAACCTAAAACAAAACTATTTTCTATGCGTGCTCGATGTGTACGTATATATTTCTTGTTGCGTACTTTGGATTTATTCATATATATGTACACACTGTTTTTCTTTTGTCTCTATTCTACATTTTTTTCTTCTCGTGTTTTCTCTCTTTCTCTGTCTCTCTCTCTCTCTCTCTCTCTCTCTCTCTCTCTCTCTCTTTTGTCTTGTGTGCTGATTTGTCAGCCGGGATTTTTTTGTCAACGTACGAAAAGATTTAACAAAAAAACAACAAATATACAACAGTTATTAAAAGTATATTTGATTCAATTTTATGAACTAGTGAAAGATCGATGAAGCCTCAATAGAACAGATAATACCGAATATTTCAGAAATAACCTAACAAAAAGAAAAATAATTGAATATCTCCACTGTCGGTCTAAACTAGGTGTTGAAATATATAGTATGGAAATATGCATCTCTCCCCTTATTGATTGTGAAAGATGTTGTTGATACGTGATTACAGATACTCTATCAATAATGATTCGTTACAACATATTAACTACTGCATTATTGCATATCCAGAGGGTTAACTTAAATGAGAATGACGAAATGTTTAGCAGATGATCGGAAAGTTTTTAGACAAAATGTTTGTTCACTTTTCAAATATGAAGTTAACAATTTTGTTTTAGTTTTTGTTTGAGAGTAACGAAATAACCTTTTAAAAGCTCAAAAAATTAGTTTGGACGGAATATGTGGGCCCGATATTTCTGGTGAACATGTTTGTTGAAGCATTCCAGAAGAGCTAAAAACTATAGGTTGCGATCAGAATTCTGTGTTTAGAAATGTTAAGATTTATTTTTAGTGCGGTCGGTGCAAAGAACAACATTTCTGTAGTCGGTCGTGTATGCATTTGTCTTCCATCTTTTATCAGAAATAATGAAAACTTTCGATCGGACGGAATCGATTCTAGGTGAACTCGTTTATCATTTTTATGTTAATTGAAGATTCATTGCCGAAAATTGAGATTGCTTGACGCTGCAGTTCTTTAGTCTTTTGCATATTTTCTTGTTTCACTTATCAGACATACGGATCAAAAGTTATTATTTTCTGTTGTGATTATCTCTATGACAGATAATACACAGATAGACGATCTTATACTAGCTTATTTACGCATCAAAGATTGTAACAGTTGTTTCAACAACATGGATTTGTAGGAACTCTTTTTTCGTACCAAACTCTTATAACAATTTGACATCAAAATGAATTATAGATGTTAAGCTCTGTACTTTTGTTACACTACAAGTAGTCAGAGTAACAAAACAGCTTATTGCAGTTTTGAAAACAGAGTAGACATATATCTCACTAAACAAGAATGTATCAAACCAAACTTAACATAGCACGTTGTTCTAAATTTCATCATCTATCTACATAGGACTACATTAAGTTTTTTACTCCTGATATTCATAGTGTAAGAAAGGTATATAAGTTAGGTGATATAATTTGTTTTGATTCCAAATATAAGAGTTTACTACGAAAAAAAGATTCTCTACAAATCTATGCTATTAAAACAACTTTTAACTTCTTCGATGTGTCAATAAGACTGTATAAGAACGTCTATATATGATTGATGTATGCATTGGAGACGAATAAAACAATTTTTCAACATGAAATTTCTATTCAAGTAGAATATCTGACGTAATTTATACTGTACTTGATAATGAAATATTGAACAATAAAATTATGAGAATATTACAGTTTGCAAAATGAGTAGTTGGATACTTTTGGAGGAATGAAAAACAGGATGCTGTGATAGTTTCGTCAAGGAAAAACTAAATAAACCAATGGATTGATCTAAGATTTTTTTTCTAATATACTAGAGATTATAGGATGTAATCTGACGAATACCAACTGATTCTAGCTCATTTAGTTTTTGAGATATGTATAAAAGAATATAAAATTAGTTACTAGTTGAATGATGTCGATATCTACTACATAGACTGATAGTCTGAACAGTACTGCATTACTCTATAATATTTAACCATTCCTAAGTTGGTGTGTCGTGTAAGTCAGAAATAACATTAAAGATAAACTAGTCGTAATCGTTTGAAGTTTACGATGATCAGAGATTATTTATCGGATGATGCTATAATTCGAATTAAGTTGCGCCTGAAATTCGTCAACTGTAATATGAAGGTCATCATTAATAAGACAATGGATCTGTTCGAACTTTTCCGATATTGCTTGATGTCAGATACATCTGATTGTGCTCCGTCTTAAACCTGTTCTCTATTTTCATGAGCTCATTTATATCATTGTTCAACTATTCTGAGACTTTGAGACTGGTTACCAAAACTAAAATACAGTGCAAGCCTCTTATTTTCATTTATATCGATCTTTATCTCTTTATCTAACACCAATAGAGAAACTAATTATAGGATCTTCATTATCAAGAAACTCATTCACCGTCATCATCATCATATCAGCAAATCTAAAGAATTATCTTCTAATCATCATGATACTCAACCAAAATTAATTTCATCGATATTCATTCATCATCTAATAATAATTATTTATTCATGTCCGAAAAATCAAGAGTATCAATACCATATTGCTTGCTTTGTTGTTCTCGTCTTATTTGAACTACACATATCCAAAAGTATTTATTCAAATGGAGGAATGATCTATCCATAATATATAGTTCTAATTCATGATTATCTATTAATCGACAACAACGTCGATTTGAAGAATCAATTTGATATTTGTAATATCTGTATATAAAAAAAACTTTTCTTTTCTCAATTATGTATTCTTGTTGATTATCCTCAAATTTTTTTCATGAAAGCAATGAAAAGTAAAGCAAATATTGATTGTCCGATAGCACCTATTGTTGCACAACAATTGATGACATATATATATTGATAATGAACAAATGACAAATATAACACTATTTGATATAATATTCATACAAATATGAACGTCAGAAAAAATGAACCGAATATATAATTCAATTTTAAGTTAGAAATACTAATTTGATCGATGGATTGCTTTATTAATTCTTTAGATGCCATGATTTGTGTACAAATTTAACTAATTATGCAAAGTCAATAAAACAAAAATGAATAATTCATAAAGTTTTTTTTTTTATATATTTCATTATTCAAAAAAATTATCAGGAATATCAAGAATAGTGATTAGTATGTATTGGTTTGTTATAATTGTCATTTAATTAATACAAAAAGCATGAATCAGAGAACGTCACAGAACGTTTTTTCGTCCTACCCTGCGTCCTGCAGGATATTATCACTCAACTGTCCTACTCTGTAGGACGTATAGCAGGACATCAAAAAATTCGTACTGGCAGGACATGTCTTGCAGGACGACTTTTTCATTACATCCTTTAGAAAGATAAAAGCTTGTCTAAATATGAGGTACAATTCCAAATATAATATAAGTACCATTTTTATAAAAATCATTGACAATAATCATGTTAATAAGTCTTATCACATGTTTTCTCGCAGAAATGAAATGAACAAAAAAAAAGGAATACTTGAGATCTATAAGATGAACAAAAAAAATAGCAGAAGTCACATCTAAGAGATGTTGGCTCTATAAAGTTTTTCATATTATAACTGTTGCTGGTCCTACAAATAGTCAGTAAACTTACTATCAAATGCTCTGTGGACCTTAAATTTTTTTCTGCAGCTCATTTATTTCTGTGCGATATTTTTTCAATTTCGTCCTGCAGGACTCAAATATTATCCTACAGGCCCGGTGTCAAAGGAAATGGATTGCCCTGCTCCTGTATCGGGAGGACCAACGCAGGACAAAATACGTTATCCGCAAGATGGGTCCTGCGTCCTACAGGCATGGCACCGCAGGCCCTGCAACGTTCTCTGGTACGAATTGATCAAGTTCTAATTTTTGGAAATAATCACTGTCAATATCTGGAAGTTTATCAAGCTGCATAGTAGGATGTTGATAAAAGTAATAATAATCCAGTAGTAAAAAGTCAAATAAAAACTAGTGCTCTAAGAAAGAAAACAAAAACAAAATTTTGTTCGAAATACCAAGATAAATGAGACAAAAATGTTTCTCTAATAATTGATTAACCCTTGAAGACAATTACTATTTGTCAGGGTGTGTGCGTGGTGCGAAGAGAATAAGTACATATACATTCACATTCAAATCACGAAACTTTTTACAAAAACCAGAGGAAAAGAAAAGAAAAATAAACATGAACATCAATGAGGACAATGTAGAATAGCGATAAATTGATAGTCGACGAAAATGTTTATCTCATCAAATATTGAACTGATGAGAATCAATTATGTTTTCTGCTTGCCTTGAATGATCAAGTCTATAATTAATGCCAAAAAAGCTCATTGCAGTGTTAATAACTAATTATCCATCAATGATCACCATTGACAGACAGTTTATGATGTGTAGATAAGTTGAGAAGTCTTGGTAGTCAATAGAACTTCTCAAAATAATTTTTCAATAAGTTGACATAATGTATTCCAGATGAAATAATATTTTTAACATACATACATGTATTAATCGTTATATAATAAAAAGGTAGAAAACTTTTTTTTTGTGTTTCAGCTTAACTTATTTTCTCACAGTTATGTTGCAGCGTAAGGAGGGATGGGTACTATCGTATGTCACAGCCTGTCAGGTTGCTTCGTAATCTGATCCAGGGAGACTCCTTGTGCCTATTTTGGCGAAAGAAGTATAGTACTGGGAACGGCACCTATGTTTGTAGGTTTTCATCGTCGTTATTGTAAGTCATATCTACGTACAATGCCCTACCAGCCCGATGTGGTCTACTCTGGATGTACCCATGTCAGACTTACCAGGTATTTCTGTGGCCGCACATGCGTACGAGACAATAAGCCGAGAAAAGGCAGAAAGGTGAGCGACCAGCAATGCAAATTCAATATATTGAATACAGCGAAAAAAAAAGATTACAATTTCTTTCGAATTTTTTCATATGTTTCTTTATATTCCAAAAGATGAGGATGATTTGGAGGCAGTTTCTCTTGAGCAATTTCTACTGCTTGTTGAACATTTTTCATTGCTATACGATATTCTCGAGTCGCCGAATATATTTTCTCCATATTATGAAAGATTGCAGCTAAATTAAGATGATATTTTGGTAGTTTCTTTTCACGTATTTCTAATCCTCTTTGAAAATATATCGATGCTGTTGAATAGTCTTTCATTTTTCGACAAGTTTCACCTAAATTTTTATTTGTCGTCGCACAATCCGAAGGATTACATTTAACATTTTCTTGAATACTTAATTTTTTCCGATGAAATGAAAGTGCCATTTCATAATCATCCATTAATCGATGAACATCCCCAATATTTGTGCATGTAATAGTCTGATTCGAATGTTTTTCAGGTGACTTTTTTTGGCGTATTGCGAGGATCTTTTCAAAACTACCCAATGTCGTTGAATAATCTGTCATACTGCGATAAACTCTTTCAAACTGACTGTATTTAACAGCAAAAGCTGGATTACTTTCTATAATTTTTTTTTCTGAATTTGAAAAGCACTTTGAAGAGCCTTAAGAGCTGCTGCATAATCACCCATTGTTTTATAACACGTTGCAAAATCTAAGTGACTAATTGTCAAATTGGGATGAGTCGAAGGCAGAATTATTTCTTTTATTTTGAGTCATTTTCGTGAAACTCAAGTGCACTCGAGTAGTCATCCATCTTGTTATACAGCACATCGATGTTATTGTAAGAAGTACCAAAATCCGGATCATCTTCAGAGAGATTTTCTTCTTTGATTGCTAGTGCCTTCTCGTAAAATGAAGCTGCTTCTGCGTATTTTCCTTAGTCGTTTTTCACACATTCAAGTTGATTATAGATATGTGCTCTATTGTTGTCGTCGGATATTTGTTTGAGTAGTGAAAATGTGATGATTATATATATAAACAAAGAACTATTGAGAAAACATAATATTCCATTTTTCTTCCTTACTTGCTTTCTTTCTATGTGATTATATCTCATAAAGAGATTTTTTGTCGCTATCTATCTATGTTCTTAAATCAATGTGGACGAGTTGGAATCAATAAAAATGAATTAAAACTCAATTCAACACTGTTCATTATATTACATTCATTCCGTTTCTCTCCATGGTCATTTATTCACAAGTAGCTAATATCGCGCAAAGCTATATACTCAGTATGATTAGCATCATATTGAAAAGGTCGTTAAAATGGAACGAACGCTGAAGAAATAGTTTTCTAGAGTATTTACCTTTTTTGTATGACAAAAACATTTAAAAATTTGTCACGATGCAAAGAGAAGTTTCCCATAAATTCTGCTATCTTTACAGATGTTTTCATTGTGGCCAAATACGGTAGAAATATGCTGCACAGACGGTGAACATACGACTACATACGACGATCACGCGATCTTGACCATGAACATCGCCGTATACGAGCACTGTAAGAAAACATCCGAGTGATATAAATGATATCGATTTTTGCGATAAACTTCGTTTGAGAAAAAAATACAATACAATATGCTATTTTTTCTATCAGAGTTAAACTCGATTTTTCGGATTGTGCTCAGTCTACACATTAAAATAAAATGTGTCACAGACTTTACTATGAAAATGTGTCGTGATCTATTGTTTAATCATCCATTCACTGTTTCGTGTTGAATATACAGTGGTATATAACCAAAGCGACGAAAAATACTAAACTTGTGTATTTTCGTCCACATTTTTCCAGATTACTTTTTGATTAACATTTACTTGAGAACATACTGAAAGATCAATCAATGATCGAGATTGAACCACCTCAAAGTGATCTGATCTGGATCGAAGTGGCTCGACGTAGCTGGATATTAGAATCTTATCGTCTCATACTTCAACAGTAAGCACTAATAATTCAGTTTTCCAAAAGAAAATAGCTGGCGCATCGAAGAGTAGATTCGAACCACGTTTTCAGAATGTTTCTCAAGTTCGTTGGGAGAAATGTATCGAAACGAGCACGTCGTGTCACAAAATACGACACATGCGACATATGTTTTATTCGTGCGAATGTATACTGTTCATGATTATATATAGTGGAAAAAATTGAAAGCGAAAGAACTGTTAATTCATTTTTTGGACAATACGAGGTTTTTCCAATGCATTCTAAAGTGTAAAGATAAAACTTACTTTTTCTGATTTGAATGTGAATATCCTCTTGACCAACATGCAAATCCACATCCATCCACAGCCTCTCACTTCTTTTTCGTAGATTTCTTAGCATTATTTGGTAGATCTCCTCCAGATCTATCAATTGATATCAAATCCCAAGTACGCTGCAACCATCGGGGAAAAGCACTAATTGATGTCAAATTTTTATGCCCCATTCGACAGAGAACTGAAACAGCTTCATTTTTCATATATATCGGCTAAATATATGAGCAAATGAATGCAGTATTTTCCGTGAAAACACTCTGTAATATAATCTTTTTGAGGACATCAAACATAGCTAAATATTAGTTAGCTCAGCTACGTGGTATACAGTACAGAATGTATTAGGAGGTTTGATTTTATTAGTCAAAGATTTCTGACCGTCAAAATGACAAAACAGGTAAAAGAAAATTGAATTTGATGAGGGAATACGAGCAATTTTGCTGAGAGTGAGCTCCTCCTTTTTGTAGACTTTTGTTTTTTCAAGCTTTAAGATAACTAAAATGAAGGCAACATAAACGGTCAGACACCCGTTCATTCGATAAACTGATATTGTTGATTTCAACTGCAAAGACAACTGACCATAACTACTGAATTCCGTAGATAATTGAACGATATATCGATTTTTTTAATGATCGACATTCATAATTTCGCATGGCATTTCGCAACCGAGTGAAACTCAAATGCCATCTAGTTGTTAAATAATAATGAGGGACTTTTTTGAAAAACTATTTTTAATAGTAATGAGTCATTGTCGGAGTTAATCGTTTTGTAGAGCGAACACTTCTTTACAAAGTGAGATATTGAGCTAAGCTGTAGCTGTTACCCAAGCACTTTTTCGAGAGTTTCTCTGATCGTAAAACGGCAATCAAGTTTTCAAAATGAGCATTTAAGAAAAACGAAAATTGAAACGCTTTGTCGAAGGACAAAAAAAGTTCAAGATAGGATATCTTGAAAGGGTAGCTTCTGGCCTGCAAGCTGATACACAGATAAAGATCCCAACTGTTAGTCTCGGATTACAATAGTGAAAGCATAAAATTTTCCCATCCAAACTAAATATTTGGGCTTGTTAACGATTATTTCACTACTTTCGAACAAAAAACTGAGATAAAATGTCTAAAGCCCATATTCGAAAACAGAAACAAATCATGACTTTTGAGTCGTCGGAAATACTTTCTAGTGAGTCAAAAGAGAACAAACGTCTTGTCTAAAACCTTATTGATCACTCGTTACTTTAATTAAAATATCTTAAGCCTAGCACTGTTGTTTGTTGATAACAATCGAAAAACCGTTTTTACTGAAATGATTAGTTAAAAAAGCTCTTTACAAAGGAATATATCGAAAAGTTTGCCGATGCTTTTATGTCTTTGTAGTTGACTGATAATGCTCGTATTCGACTAAACGTTAAGTATAATCACATGGATGTTACGTGATTTTTTTGGTAGAAGAACATTCGAATGGATGATGTAAAGCCTTGGAGAAGTCAAATAGACTAGCAAAAAGTCAAAGATTGCAAGTACATCATCTTAAGAGTTGAGAAAATTGAACAACATAACAGTTCGAATTATATTACAGAAGTCTGAAATCTATCGCTTATTTTTGCTAAAAAGTCTAAATTTTGCTCGATTACTTTTTAATATTGATTATTTGGGCAAATATAGATACAAAAATAGTCTGAGTAGAGAATGCAATTGTCAGCTTACAGAATAGTTGAAAGACTGTCTTAAAACTACTCATAGACAAAGAAAATTACTTGAAACAGAAATGGAACTAATTTTAAATCTAAACTGTTACTGAAAACGAATCAAAGAAGATACTTTCAATTACAGGCTAAATTTTCGATCTTCATGATATTTCTTTATGCCAAGCAAATGCATCTGCCATATCATTAATGACGTTTACTAATAATCATCACATAAGAATTACTTTGAAAAATAATAAAATAAAGGGTATTCACTAAGTTTTCACCCGCTTATTCAATAACACCCTTTATATTCTCTATCAAGATTATAATGATAGATATTTGAAAATGAACTTATCATAATCTCCCTGAAAAATTTTGTTAGAGGCTCTCTAGCAACTCATATTCCATATGTATTCATTTTTCTTCTGGCACTTGTCTCATAAGTGCATGCACGTTAACATTCAGATTTCCATTGAATAAACAAAATTTCATTAACACGCAATATTACACATACACAACATGAAAAAAGAAACTATCTTTCTACACATTTTATACATTTTTTTCTACAATAAGTTCTTTTTTTCAGACAACAAAGAAGAGATTTTAAAATTCCATATAACAATTTACAAAAATATGCATTTTAGCGTAAATGAATTCATCTGATTTTTTTTTATTATCTGTCATTGTCTTACTTTTTTCTATAGGCATTTATAAATCAACACTCGTAACTAAGATACGATAATGTAGTGTCATCTACCGTACACAAAAAACACTTCAGAGCAATTCATTATAGTATAAAAAGTGGATTCTCTTTTCATTCGTTGATTTTTATTTAATGTAATATACATAATAGATTCAATAATCAATCAATAAATATATATATATATAAATCTTAAATTTCTTAGAAAAAGAATTTATAATGGTATTTCAAGATGAATCAACAATGATTGTTGAAACAAAAAGTTCTCCAAAAATTTCATGTTTAGAAAATAAATCATCATCACCAGTTCAGCCATGTTTTCATTCATCATGTTCACATTGCGATGTTACTTATTTAAAAACAATTAATTCTGAAATAAAACAATTAACAAATGAAACTGAATTATTTAAATATTCATCAATAGATAATAAAAATATTTTATTATCATCTTCATCATCAACGTCGAATATACCATTTGAAACCCAACGTATTAATTTTTATTCAATAATTGATGAATGGAAATCTGATCGTATTGAACATATATCATTTATATATCAAAAGAAAAAAAATCAAATTGATTTAATATGTTCTCAAACATATCATGAATATGAAACTTTTAAAATTGAACAAAAAAATTTATTAAATGAAAATTTATTATCAAATAATAATAATAATCATCGAATATTAATACCAAATGAAATTGAAGAATTAAATCAAAAGTTATCTTTAACACGTCATTTACTTGACTATTTTATTCAACCAAAATTAAATAATCAAAATACATTTTCTGATCAAGATGATGATGATGATAATGATGACGATGATGATGATGATGAAGATATAAATTATGAAGAAATTTTTAAAGAAAAACCAATTAATGAATATTCATTATTAACAGATAATCTTGCTATGGCATGTTCTAATTCACATATATTATTACGTGATGGTGCACGTTTAATATTATATAATGAAAAAGAGAAACTTCATCAATTAGAAATCAAAGTTCAACATCCAGGTGATTTTATTCGAGATTTATGTTGGTGTGAAACACTTGGTTATTATCTTGTATTAACACAATATCTTTTATTTATATATGATCCAGATAAATATTCATTAACTATTATTGATAAAGTTAAACCAATTCAACGATCAAAATTTTCTTCAATAACTTGTTCAGATAATATTATGTTCTTAGTTAATGGTAATGGACAATGTGTTGAACGATGGTCTATAGCAAAAAGTTTTCATTGGAAACTAATTAAACGTGATTAAGAAATTTTTTTTTCTATATTGAATATGAGTACTTCTATTGAAAGTATACTAAAGTTGACATCGACTTTATCGGAATGGAATAACATTTTAAGGCCTTGTAAAACTCGTGTGTAAAAGTGTAGTTATGATTTTTAAAAAATTGGAAAATTTACAAAAGAATGAGATAGGTTCGGTTACATAATCAAAATAGATCTTCTCTAGCTCTTCTAATTTAAAAAATAGAAGCCGGAAAACTTTACCATAGATAGTAGTTGTTAAGATGATCATTTTTTGTATCCGACATTTTTTTATCTTGTGTTCTGTTTGGCGGGCTCGAGTATCTCTATGAAGTCCAAACAGAATTTCACTTTTTTAGTACTGTAGAAATTTTCTTTTTTTGGTCTAACCACATTGTCCAACAACGAAAGCTTCTGGAATTAGAGAGCTTTTTTGAACCTATAGATATGCTTATAGATATGAGTTCTGCAAGCTCTGGAAGTTTCATTTCATTCTGTTAAAGTCGATATAAGCTCTGGTACATTCTCGAAAGACGTACTCGCATATATTATTTCTTTTGCTTTTTAGGTTGGCCAGAAACGGAATTTTGTCGTGAAAATTTTCGTTTAACATCACGTATTCGTGCTAATCATATTATGTTAGGTTAGTTTAATGATACAACATCTTAGTTACATAAACGAAAGCCCTCTGTTTTTTCTTGGTTTCTATATTTATGAACAAACAAACAAAAAAAAATCATGCAATAAACAATAGCAGTGACGTTACCAGGAGAACCGTGCACGATAGGATAGTGCTCTGTGACCTTAGCAGAAATCCATGTCATGTAGTGATGATGATGATAACTTTTACCTTTTCCCTTCTTTCGATGGTAGGGCGAAGACGATCAGTGGTAAGACAAGTGTTTTGCTTAGCCCACCCCTGGTTACGACACTAAGTAATAGAAAACTGCATCTAAAATATTCGTAAAACTTCTTATAACAAAATGATGATTTTCACGTAAATTGTTAGTTTTGAACTATAGTTTACAGAATTCTGCAAAAGTCATTGAGTAGTTTTATATTATATTTTATACGAATGGTTAATATAGTACACTAATGAGGAAACATTTTTCAACGCATCAATTCCTTTTGTAGAACTCAATCTAAAAGAAATATTCAAGTGTAGAAGTAAAAAATTTAGACCCACATAAATCGTGATAGACGTTGTGGATATACACAATTAAAGATCGTATCGCAAAAATGCCTCGTTAAATTACTTTCTTATTCCATTTCTGGAAGATTAAGTAAAAGCAATGGTGAAGAAATGTGTCCCAGAATAGAAAGAGTAAGACAATCCCCTATGATTAGCAACAGCACCTGTATCGTGTTTAGGGATACATACATTTTCAGATAGTGGTTTCAAAGATGACCTTCTTTAGTATTGAGAATTCATTATTCTGTGATTTTTTTTAAATAACACTGCTGTTCAGTTTTGATTGCTGTATGTCACGCTATCATTAGATTTCATCGGATCCAAAAAGCGAGGTTCGGAATTGATTGAAATGTATGAGTTTTAAGAGAAAATCCAACAAGTTTTCAAAGAAATCAAACAATAGCATTGAATTGAGCATAGTTGACACGAACAGTTGATATGAATCTGTGAGTTCTCAATACTACAGGATGCATTACTCTTGGATCGAAACTTCTGGAATCAATACATCCATACACAAAAACAACATATTTTCACTACTCAAAGCTACAAGCTTCCGTCAGTGATTCATGCGAGTAGAGATCAACTTTCAATGTTCGATCCGATATTATCATTTGAATTCTTTGAAAATTGGCTGAATTTCCTCTTAAAATTCACAGAAGTTCGACTAATTCTAAATCTTGTTTTTTTTTTATTCGATGAAACCTAATGATAGTGTTGAATTGAATAACCAAAACTTAGCAGAACTCTTATGAAAAAATCGACAGGACAATGAATTTTCAATAATAAAAAAGTCATCGTCGAAACCACGGTCTAAGATTTACTGGATCCGTAGAGAAATTTTGCTAACACTTTTTACTAAAAGCTACTGGATTATGGGTAATTGACCATGCTGATTTAGAAATATGACCATGAGAAATTTCCTTCGATCTTCACACACCTGTTTTTCCGAATAGCAAACATATTGCTAAAATCGTTTTTGATCTACTCAGATTATAGAGCATATCAGATTGTCTCTTTCCAAATAATCACATTGACATGTTGATATGCATCTGTCATACTGTCTGCCAACACGATTTCAAACAGAAAAAGTTACTATTTTCTAGCCGATTCGATATATCGAAAGGTCAAAAAATATTTTTGGCGAAACGATTATTAATCTAGAAAATCAATGCAAGAAGGTCTATGAGAATCTCTCATGGTTGGTAGCTTATGATCCAATAGATTCGTTTTTATAAAGGGACTGATAAGTTGAAGCTAGCGACCCTCTTGTTTTGAGTGGACAGTGGTAGATGGCACCGTCATTGCGTGTGCTATATTATCCTGGATATAAATCACCAGTAGAGTAGGTAAAAGCAAAACTAGAAAACTAGCGTCTCTCTTGCTTTGGAAAGGGCAATGGAGAGTGTAGCCCATTTATTAGTACCGTGTATTCTTGGTAATACGATACACTCAGCATGGGCGCCATCTACGACTGTCTAAAGTAAATAATACAGGCACCAGTGTTCTGTGTTCTGACTTTGCCGCTTGTTGAAACGATCCCTTGTAATCACTATGACCAAAAATATCCTTGTTCGAAAGAATAATTTGATTGCTCTATCGAATTTTCTATTTGATTAAATATTTATACATGAGAAAGTATTACGTTCGAATGATTTGTTCTTATTTGAATAGAACTTGTCAAAATAATGTACTAGCGAAAAGAGTAAGTAAAAACATCCTACAAAGGATTCATAGAGAAAATAATGAGATCGATTGAATGTTTCACAAAGGTGATGGTAAATAAAGATTTGGCTTCATTTTGGATTGTTCTATATAGAGTTTGATTAAGAAAGATTAAGCCAGAAGAATTACGAAGAGTAGTGTTTTTGTTTACCAAATTTGATGTAATAAATTTTCTATCCCAATATTATATCTTTTTTTTTCTTAGCATTGAATATTTGTGGTCTCAATTTTGGTTATCGTATATGTTTATATGATTATCATATGAAATTACTTCGACGAATTAATTCTGATTCAAATCTTCATTTATTATCATATATGAATGGAAATCAATGGATGGCAACAGATTATAAAGAACGTTTTTATTTATTTAATGATGATGAAACAATAAAAACAGTTATTGATTATAATGGTAAAGGTGGTTATATAAGAAATATTGCTAGATTAGGTTCAAATTATATAGCTGTTAAAGTACTTAATCGATTACAAATTTATAAAATATGATTATTAATCAGTGTTTTTTTTTCGTATTAGTCCTACTATAGAACCTTGATCTCTTTTTTTGTGTGCAAGTCTTTACCACGGTGTTTGATATTTTTTTCATTTGTGTCTCCTCACATATTCACATTTCGATTCTGTGTTTTGTGTTTTTTTTTTCGTTGTTAGCTTTTTTTTTGGATGAGTTTTTTCTTTTGAAAAAAATTGATAGAACAAATAAATGCATATGTTCGCTGTGCAAGTGAAATAAACATTTGTATGTATATATAATGGAATTTGCACCAGTAGGATCATTAACAATTGTTGGCAGCAACTTCGTCGTAGGTGTAGACAATAACATCAACAGTTTCTTTATTCAATTTCATATGATTTCGTCTTCAAACAAGGAGAAAGAATAAGTTTGATTGATTTTCTCTTTCACCTGTAGTTCACTACAACCATCATCATTTTATGCTCTTGAAAAAAAAGAATAAGTAGAAAGAGAAGAGAACAGAACATGGCAGCAAAGAAACCAGTGTTGATAGAAACACAAACAGAACTTGTCCTTATTCCTTTTTTTTCCTTTCATATCTAAACAATAATAATGCAACTTTGCAACTAGGCAATGAAGAGAGGAAAAGGGAGAAAAAAAAAGAATTTCATTGTTAAAATACTGAAAATTCATAAAAGTAGGAGAAAAGCGCGAGAGAGAGAGCAAGCGAGACGCTTCGAGATTGTCTCTATGTATTTCTGTTTTATGCAATGATATAATCAAAACGAAATCATTCATTTAAAATTTTTTAGAGTATACTTATTTGAACTTTTTTATAGTTGTGTATCAATCCTTGGTAGCAACAACAATTAATTTGTGTAAAAGTAAATGAAACCCAATAAATTATAAGAATTTCTTAATATATTTTGTTTATCTAGATGGCTGATCTTCCAAATGGTGGTGAAGTCGCACCACCACTTGTTACAACAAAAAGTTAGTTAATTTTTCAAGCACAAAAAGAATTCTTCTAATTAATTCGTTTTGAATAGCTGATGCTCGTGCAAATGGACCTATCAGTTCTGCTGGTACAACTCAAGCTCCGGTTTCTACAACAACTGCTGCAACTACAATAGCACCAGTATGATCTTGTTTGGAAAGAAAATTTCTTCTTTACTATTTGCATATTTTTAGACAAAGAGTAAAATAGTTGGTGGTGATCGTCAGCATGAAATTGCTCGACTAGCTAAAGCTCTTCGTGATGAACGACGCGCAACGGTAAAAATATTTTTTTAAAATAGCTTTGTTTTCGCTAATCAATTCTTTTTTTTTCTTTTATTTATAGATCGATCCTCGACATGAATATCTTTTTGGACGTGTAAGATAATTAAGAAATTTTTTTTTTAATTATATATTGAATAATAATTATTTTAGCTTGCTGAAGCGATCGGTATTGAACCATCACAAGTTGAAGATCATATTTTAGGAGATGATAAAGTAATTTCCATATTTAATAAAACTATTTTTAAACTATTCATGTTTTTTTTGTTTATAGTTTGATTGTATTGATGATTTTTTTCTTGCTGGGGGGCGTCGAGTATTAATGTTTTATTATCAAGAATCAAAAGTAAAATGAAAATTCTTTTGCTTTTGTGTTTTTTTATTTTTATTTAATTTGAATAGAATCCTGAACCAAATCAACCAGTCTATGGTCGTTTAGCAAATACTGGACCAAAAAAACGTGTTATGATTAGTACCGGTGATGAATCGATGGTATTAATTTTTAATTTCCTTTCTTTTTATTTATCTTTGAATACAATTTTCTTTTTCTTTTTTTCTGTAGCAACTCACCGGTGTTCTTTATTATTTTGTTCGCCCAAATCAACCAAAAGCAATAACACCGGCTAATATTGTTAATGAAGTTGTATTTGGACAATTAGATGCATCAAATGGAAAAATGCTTGAATCTATTGATCAATTATTAGCAAATATGTTAATTCCATTATTTCAACAATATGAAGTTTGTTTTGATTAATTTTATTCAAAAGTAAAAATAAAAATAAAAAATATTTATTTTTAAGGATTGGGGAGCTTTAAAAACTCGTAGTAATATTAATGTACAAGATTTTCTTGATGCTATGTCTCAATTTACAGCAACTGTAAATGGTGCAAGTGATAATATAGGTAATAGAAATTCATTTCTTTTGTTTTTTAAATATTGTTTTATGTGTTATAGCTCATCAAGTAAAATTAGCACCAAGTGATAATGACAGTACATTATCAACATTAGCAACACCAAATGATTATCAAACAATGGCACAGAATGGAGATTTTATAATTGAATGTGAAAAATTAATGGATAAATGGTGTAAACAAATTGAAAAAGTAGAAAATTACTATAAACAAATAAAATAAATTTTTTTTTCTTCGTCGAATTGTAGATTTTAGCTGAAAGTGAACAAATTCGACGTGAAGCTGATGATGTTGGACGTAAGTATTAAGAAATTTTAATGCATGAAAAATCTAATAAAATATATTATAGCATCTGCTGAATTAATTCATTGGAAACAACGTATGGCTACATTTAATAACTTATTAGAACAAATCAAATCTTCTCGATGTCGTGCTGTTGTTGGTGTTCTTCAATCAGCTAAATCAAAATCCATCAATCGTTGGAAAGATTTAGTACGTTTAATTTAACAAAATACAAATTTAATTTTCACATTGTTGTTTTATTTAATTAGGATGCTCGAATAACTGATGCTGCAAATGAAGCCAAAGACAATGTTCGATATTTATATACGCTTGATAAATTTTTTAGTACACTTGACAAAAATAATCCAGTAAGGATTATTTTATGAATTTTTTTAATAATTTTATATAAATTTTATTTAGAATGCTATTGCTGAAAAGATTCCTAGCTTAATGAATGCTATTCGAATGATACATAGTATTTCACAATATTATAATTCATCCGAACGAATGACCTCTTTATTTGTTAAAATTACAAATCAAATGATAAATACATGTAAACGTTATATTAAAAATGGTTGTTCTCGTCTTTGGGATATTCCAAAGTAAAGAAATTTTCGAATAATAATTGTTTTTTCTTTATTGTATTTGTTAATTATAGACAAGATCTGGTTAATCGTATTCAAGAAAGTAAAAAATTAAATAATGAATATCAAGCATATTTCCACAAAACAAAAGGAAAATTACAAGAATCAGCAAATGAACGACAATGGAATTTTAGGTAAGGAAAAAGGCTTAACAAAAGAAAGAATTGAAGTAGAACTGTACAAAGTAATCTTATCGTCTTAGATAAAGTTAGCATAAGAAAATTTTTCTTAAACGGTCAACAAGAAAACTTTCATACATCTTCAAATTGAAAATAAAAAATAAAAGACAATCGAATATTCTAATTGAACACATTATTTTGCAGTAGAACTTGATGAACTTTTAATTCGAATCAAAATAACCATCTAATGACTTTGTCCGACAATAGTACATGCATTGAGGAACACAACTTTCTTAGTGAATGTACTGGGTTCAAAATACTCTGCTATCAGTTTTAATATTTGACTGCAGAATGCTTCTAAACTTCAATCGACTAACTTGTTGAAGAGCTTTTCATACAATGCTATAGAAACTGAACAAATATTCAAACGAGTACCTGATTCATTCTCGTGTATTGAAACAATCCGCAGCAGGATAGCTGGCCGAGATCTTGTGACATACTGGTAGTAACCTACCTAGATATTGGCAAGATGGCTCCCGACTCGATCGGGGCCGGATCCGAAAATTTTGAGTCTGATAGGCTCTAGTCATCTGAGAAATGTGTAGGGTATTCTAGTCACCGAATACAAAAAAAAATGGAAAAGAATATCTCGTATCTTTGGGTAACTATTCAATTCCGATTAGAAAATTTCATTGAAAATATCAAAGTACAGTTTGCTTGATCTGAATTCACGAGCTCTACCGATGGGATCAGAGCTAAAAATAATTGATCCCACTAATGCCTAAAGATATCTTCTTGGATACCGTGCTGACACTCCGAGTATGCGGATACCTTGAATTCAGTATATTTACGTCGGTTGTGTATCATTTGTTTTGTGCCAATTACAATGTTGAAATGCTTTGCAAATCAAATCTATTTTCTTGTAAAAATTTCCTTCTCAAGGGCCACCCCAGCATTGTAAATTTTCTCTTTTTTTTCAGTGATTTTTATAAAATATTTTAATTAATAAATATTTTAGTGAAAATTATATCTTTGGTAAATTCGATACATTTTGCAAACGTCTCGATCGTATTGTTGATGTTTTAAATACAATTGAAAGTTTAAGTGGTTTACAAAACATTCGTGTTGAAGGCTTAGAGCCAATTGTTGTTAAATACCGATCAGTTGTTGATGCAATTAAAAAGAAATCATATGATTTACTCGATCATCGAAAACCGGATGTAAGTAAAATCTAACTTATTTTTAGTTTATTACGATTTTATCTCTTCTTGTTTTTTTTAAACCTAGTTTGATAATGATTATAATGAGTTTAAATCACAAATTGAATATATTCAAGCTCAATTACAATTATTTATTGATTCATGGTTTCGAAAATCATACACAGTAATTTACTAAAACAATGCTAAAACAATTGAAACAAACATTGTTTTTTTATCTTAGGTTGAACAATCCTTATTATTTCTTAATAAATTCCAAGATTTAGAAGGTGTTAAAATTGATTTTGGTGATAAACTTAGTAAATTATTACAAAACTTTAGTAAAGAACTTGATAGTGTACGTAAAATTTATGAGAAAAATAAAGAAGATCCACCATTATCACGTAATTTACCACCAACTGCTGGTCGAATTATATGGGCAAGACAATTATATCAACGTATAAGTATACCAATTAAATTATTACAAGATAAAATGGATTTAAGTAAAACTGAAGATGGAAGATTATTAATTAAAAATTTCAATAAAATAGCTGAAGCTTTACTTCAATATGAAGTTTTATTTTATCGTAATTGGGAACGTAGTATTGATTTAATAAAGAAAGGAATGGAAGCAACTGTTTATATTCGACATCCAGAAACGAAAGTATGCATGTTTTGTATTTGTTTTTTTTTCATTCATTTGATTCGGTTTTTGTTACAGGAAGAATATGTTAATTTTGATCCACAAGTATTGGAATTAATTAAAGATGCACAATATTTATCAAAATTAGGTTTAGATATTCCAGAAACTGCAACAACATTACTTCGACAAGAAGAACAAATTCGACAAACAAGTGTTAATTTACAAGAATTACTTAATGATATTAAACATGCTTATGCATCGATTCCAAAAGATATGTCACAATTATTTAAACCACATCGTGAAAAAGTTGAAGAAGCATTACGACCTGGTTTTGTTGCTATCACATGGTCTTCATTGACTATTGAAGAATGTATGTAATCTGTTTTGCTCTTTTTACACTAAAACAGTTCTATTTTCTAATACGATTTCTTTTTCCAGATATTACTAATGTTCGACAAGAACTTG